TAATAAATAAAATATATAATACAGGTTGAACATCACTAATCTGAAAATCCAAAATGCTCCAAAATGCTCCAAAATCTGAAACTTTTTGAGATAAATGTTTTTAAAACACATGGAAATAATAAACACCAAATCCAAGACAATGGTTACCTCTGGGAGAAAGGAGCAAGATATGTTTGTGGAGGACTATCCAGGGGGTTCAAATTTACCGGTAACATTTTATTTCTTAATAAAGATTGTGGTGGATAGGTAAGAATTTACTTACATTATTCTATACTTTTGGGGTATCTAAAGCATTTCATAATTCCGTAAGTACAATTGTGCAAACAGTTCAAAGTTATTTTAGAAAACAAGGTTCTGATTAATAGAAATTTTATAGAGGTTATTCAAAACTGAGCAAAATTAAGACTCTCCATAATATATTTTATTCAGACAGTAAATAAAATAAAATTCTGAGTTACAACTTCATAAATAATCATTTCTAAAAGCACCATGATGAATATATTCCTGAAATAATTGTTTCTCAGGGAGAGCCATTTATAAACAACAAAATGTGTGCTACAAAAAAATATTTAATTCACGCAAGTGATTACTTTCAGGCTGCAAGTAAATCGAAATGTACATAGCAAGGAGCCACTACAGCTATTCAGTTTCAAAATACAATGGTAGATCCATTTCAAAATTATACTTTAAGTTATAGTAAATGCTCTCTTCCTTCCTTAAGTTATTCTTTTGGTTCACATAAAGATATTTTCCCAACCAATTCTATTGCTGTGACCATTTAGACCTCACCCCCAATTTTTCTCTATTCCTTTTCTGCCAATCTCAAACAGTAAAGAATAAAAGTGTTCCAGGACCTTGAAGCTGGCACCAACACTACAGAATTTTCAATACTTTACTGCCCTTTCCCACTTTTTTGGGGTAAAGGGGGTAGCTCTTAAGCATCCATCCAGAGTTATTACTACTTCTTTTATTAATGTAGCATGCTACTCTCTGAACCCTCAGCTATACCACTGCTGTACTTATTTATCACCTCCAGCAAACACAAACTATGACTGATTTTTAATATCAATTTCTATGCAATGAAGAACAGATCCTTAAAAGATTCAAATCCTCACAACTAAGAAAAAGGTGTAAAATCACCCAATGTTGTGACTAAACTTTATCTCAAGCAGGTAAACCCATTTTACTTACATATGGATTTTGAATGAAACCTAGAAAGCATATCATTTCTTGAGCTCTGAAAGCAGTGTTTAACCATTTTTTTCAAACCCATCTTCTCTTTTGATAAACAAATATTTCCTGTCTACTGCTAACATTATTACCCAAACATAAACTATTATGATATTGAACACTTTTTTTCAAAACACACAGCTTTCCCAGATTCTGATAGCTGCCCTGGTTGAGAAATGATGCATTTAAGATGAAGATTTATTAACAACTTTCAAAAATAGCATATTTGTAGATGCTTTCAAAGAGATGTAATTATATATGGCAAAATATATAAATGGGAGATAATATAAAACAAATCAACTTACACATACAACATGTTCGTATCCAAGTCAATGCAAACAACATCTTGTGGTGGGTCATGAAGATCAAAATACCTTGAGTCAACTCCAACTATAAATGGTAAAGGTGCACTAAGCACTGCAGCCAGTGAAAGAGGACAAAGGGGAATATATGGGCATTGCCACTGAAATGGAAAGATCA